GAGGTGATGGGGGGTCTGGACTGAGGTGTTCTACCGACAATTTTCATGGGAGCGCTCATGACCAAGTAGACTCATGCCAAGTTTGAGTGTCCTGAGACAGTTTTGGACGGCGACGCCGGAACGACGGATGTACATTGGGGCTGCTGGCATTGGTTCATTTTTCCTGTACGGAGGATTCGCAAGTGACCACCATGCAAATGTGGGGTGACAGTAAGGCCAGGATGAAGCTCAGGCTACGACGAAGGTGTCATCCACATACCGAAACTCTGAAGCTCAGACTGCTGAACTATCAGTTGTATTGGTGGTTTTGGTGCAGATAACGCTCGTTGGTGTGGTGAAGTTATTATTGCTGGTGATATATAAGTTTTCGAGCTGAAGCGATTGTTTGATTGTGTTAACACTGTGATGAATTTCGGTGTCGTGTATCACCAAAAAGACGCATGAACTGTCTGAATGTTTTTAGAAAATGTGGAAAGTTGAGGCGTATGATGAGGCTCCAGATACGGCTTCGCCGGTCTCAGTGTGATGGGTTACCAGGTGACTGATTAGGCCTATACGTGATTCAAATATACATTCGCCATGGAGATGGGTTGTGACTGTTCTACGAAAAAGCACCTTTAGAAGGATTGGCAGGGACCCTTCTAGTTTCGTTTTGTGGGGCATGCCGCAGTTATGCCGGATTAAGCCTTGCAATCTGTGATCTACTTGACTGTCCCTTTATATCTCAGTTGTAATTACACTCTCGATTTTGACGTTTCTTGGGGTAGTTCTTTGCTCACAGATACTAAATGGTTTCCATTAGCATACCATCATCGCATCAAGCACAACTCAGAGCGACGATCACGAGGTCTGCTAATTTTAGTGCAGATGTGGTTACGTGACCGCTACAGACTATAAATACTGCGTAATCTTCGCATTTACCAGCCTCTTCTGTGGTTATCTGTGACGATGAGTTCGAGCCAGAATCCGAAACGTCAGGCAAATAAACCTCTTGCTCGAGCAATCAATCTAGAGCAGGCAATCTAGAATAACCGCCTGCTTCAACTGTGGCCGGTTGGTCACGTGTGCAGACGTGTGCTTGGCTGATGAGAAACAGTGCTGCAAGTGTGCTATCATGTGTAAGGTCGTGTGCAGAAGGAAGGATGGCGGGTAGGATGCGATTCGCCGCAAGACCACGCACCTACGCGCGAATTTTAATTCTCAATCCTGTATTTGAACATTTCCCTCTTGTCCCCAGGAGGTTTGTCGTCCCGCTATGTTATGTGTGACGTTACGGATTTTGAACCTCGTATTATCTACACCAGCTAGCGATTACTAGTGCTGGACCTCTGTTTAGTTCGGAAGAACTGCAAATAAGTCGTTGCTGTTGTGTGCAAGAGAGGGACGCGCCTGAGTCAGATGAAGCAAAGGCTATATTGTCGGACGGCGTCCAACCTAAGACGCTCGCATCAGATGAGTCACTAGTAACTGCGACCAGCGGGGTACTTCGGTGAGCGGCAACGCGGGCGACGGTCAAGCCATATGACGACCACGACCTTCTCAAGGATACCCTTCCATAAGCGCATATCCTCGTTTCCCAATAATGACACACTAGGCGAGTATCTGAGGGGAAGCTTTGTTCGTAATTACCGTTCCAATTAAGCATGACGACAGCCTTAGAGGACAAAGTAAATTAACGAGTACACAGAAGAATATTTCTATCCGTTGCACTTTTTTCGAAAAAACTCTCAGAATCAATCGACATATAGTATCTATGGGATAATCCGTCACCGCAGGTGATGATGTTCTTCGCAAAGCGTAAAAATAAACTCGGGCGACCAATTACAAATTAATTATCCGGTACAAGTAAGCAAAAACCTCTTTTAATAGATCTGTCATTGGTGTCAAGCACAAAATTCCGTTGACGAGCTGTCACTAGACCCGACGATAGCTGACTGCTTTTCTGTGCTGCTAAAAAAGAGAACAGGCTTATTCCAACCTATGACACTGCCAGTCTGTCCAACTGGCACCACTTCTCTAGC